GGGGCTGGGAGGGGGCGGAGGTCTGTCCAGCCGGCCCACACACCCCCACCCCCACCCGCAGGCACACGGGCTGTGCGTGGGCCCGTCAGTGCGTGGGCCCGTGGGCCTGCCTGGGCCCGTGTGCCATTAGACGCCAGTGGGTAGACGTGCAGTTTCCCCGGCGTCCCCCTCAGCGCTGCCTCTCTGCGGACGTACCTAGGGGTGATGAGCAGTTTTCCGGTCGCGTGAATTCTCGGACTCCTCCGACGACTTCGGTCCTGATGCCCCTCTCGGGGTCATGATGACCGTTGGGGATGGCTGTTGAAACCGGTGGGATTCGTACTTTGTCATGACCGCGCGCCAGCGGACTCGATGTATCATCGACTGTGCTCCTCCGGCGCGCTGTAGTTACAGCGTGTCAGAGCAGCCTCGAGGCGCCCGAATAGTGGAGGGGAGTGTTTGAAACCCAAACCCTGTGGCATTACATCTGAAAACGACCTGGGTTGTCAGCGGTCGGCAAACTCGTGCGATTGAGTTTCGTAGTCCAAACGTGAGATCTGCCAAAAATAAGCAGCGTAAATAACAGCGTAGCGATGAGGTTTTTTCCCCCGCAGTTTTGGGGCATCTGGATTATGCCGCAGACGAACGTCTTTATTTTTGCTTAGCTGAGGAAGAGACTCTGTGGGCTCACCTCTGCCAGTAGCCGTGGCGGGGTGGGGATTTGGGCCCTGCAGGTAGTCCTGTAACACAAATAACATCCTGCTCGTTATGTCCCGGAAGGTGTAAACCAGATTCATAATTATGGCCCTGAGTTATTGGAAAGATAACTTCACAGCTATCTCAAAACAAGTACTTGATAATTCCCCCGACCTTCAGCTGTTATCTGTCACATGATGAACGATCAGCTGAGGGTGAGGCCACTTCCTTCAAATCTTGCTCTTTACTCTGAGCTCCGACTTCCCGTGCGCACAAGTGAGCGACGGCTGCAGTGTCAGTGTGAGCTTATACGGGTTGTCCCCAAAATTTACCTCTTTTGATAGTGCCGCGGTTTAAAGCTAACCTTTAATTCGTATCAACTTTTTCACTTTGTTACCTTAATAGTTTAACTTAAGTGGGGCAGGTCTCCTGGATTTTTTTTCTGGATGGCTGCTAAAATAATCTTTACTTAGATAAAAGCTGATGCACAGTGGAGGGTTGATAACACTGCTTTATCATACTTAGCATGGCTTTTTCTGGTGAAGTTTGTGTTTTGATCATTTGCAAATGGTAGAGAACCAAGAATGACGTCAAGCGAACAGTCTTCTTGAAAATCACGGGCTTAATTATGTTTTCATGTTTCTTTTTGTACATCTGAACTTGGGCTTTTTCTGTGTGACTTATTTCCTTTAATGAAATGGCATGCAGTTTCTGATGAAGAACAGCCAGTGGTATATGTTCCAGGTATGACCTCATTGTAAATACTTTTACTTTGGCAAAGCTAAGTTTTGCAAAGATTGTGTGTGTGTGTGTGTGTGTGTGTGTGTGTGTGGGAGAGGATGGGGGAGGGAAAGAATAAGAGGGCACATTTGAGGTTTTTGTGCTTTTGAGGGGAAAAAGGGGTTATAATAGATGACCTATTGCCTGCTGTTTGTAAAGCTGTACAGGCCAAAGATGAACTGTTTCAGGGGACTTGTTACAAAGCAGACATAGCATAGTAGTTTGTTCTGTCTGTAGCAGAGGCAGGTTTTTACATCCCTGAGTTCTGTTAAAGCCTCAGAGAGGTTCAGGTCCTCAGCAGGCTTTGGAGGGCCCAGTTAAATCACTCCTAGCTTCATAAGGACAGATGAAATTTTGCATTAGGTCTTCTGGGATAGAGGGGGAAGTGTCTAAGTTTCTGCTGCTCTCTAGAATTTATAATCTTGTTAAGTGTTTTGAAGCAGGGCCTTATTGCAGGTACACGAAAGTTTAGGTTCTGCTGAATGACACGAAAACCTGCTGTTATGTTCAGGGTTTAACAAGTAAAATGAAGTGTTTGTTGCAGGAGTAGACCACTAGTTGCAAACGTCATTGAGAAGTTTTGAGGAATTTGGCTTTTAAAAGAAACAACAAAAACCCCCCTGTTCACGCAGTTGGGTTAAAAATGGAACAAAACTTGCAAGCCGTAGTGACAGGGCTTCACAGCTTGTCTGTATTTACTCTGAAATTGTTGCTCATGTACAATGGAAAGTACCAGTAACTCCAGGAACTTTTGGTGGCTTGGATGGAGATGGAAAGGCTCATAAAACAGTGTCTTCACATGAATTGCTGATTCTCTTGGAAAATTTGTAGATGTACTTGCTTTACAAACTTATGTTTAAGTGAAAAATAGGAAAGCAAGCTTGTGTTTCTAAACATTAATAGCGTAATTCCAGAGTCTAAAATCAGGTTTAGCCTTGCTTCATGATGGCCTGGTCTCTTATAGTTTTGACACACCATTGTAAGGCCCCAAAAGTCTTGGAGTTGCTAGGGGTAGCACCATCACTGGACTGGAAATAATATTAGCAGTAGAATCTTTTTACTGAATACTTGCCATATTAAACATAACAATAGCTGTAACATGGGGAGCAATTCATCTTGGGCCCCAACATGCAGTGGTAGATTGTCTATGTAAAGGTAAAACTTTAAAGTGAATCATGTTAGCACTGTAAGGGCTCTGTTCATGGTACTTAATTAACCCTTGTTTTGAGGACATCACAGGAGTGGCTTTGGTTTATGCTTTTCTTTTTAAGTGAACATGATTTTTGCACTGAGCCTCAGTCGGAGGACAGTGGGCATATTCCAGGTTTGCTGTCTTTTATGATTTGTTTGCAGAATCCCATGAATGTTCATGTGGTTGGCTACAGCCAATGCATTCTGCCTTTCTTCGTGACAGTATTCAAACAAATATTTTGTATGTGGAGGGAGGGGAGAGGCTTTATAAGGAGCTCCTCTGAGATGGTGGTATATTCTGAAGAATTTTCTCTAGTTCAAGCAAAAATTAATTTGATGGCCTGCGTTTTATGTAGGATGCAAGGCATTACAACAGTTCCTTTTGCCCTTAATAATCTATGAATCTTTTTTTGTCTTCAATCTGTAGGAATTTCTGCAGAAGGAAATTTAAGAACAAGGCGCATATTAAGGGCTCAAAAAGCTGAAGCAAAGCTGAAGGTTCCTGCAGCTGCTACTACTGCTACCATGGATCCCATTAGAGAACCGACAGGACAGCAGGTCAGCAGGCGTTAATGCTGCTCATTTTGAAGAGTTCAGATAATCATAAAATAGGTGTGAAGCATCAGCTTGCAAACGTTTTAGAGTACCATGTCATTGTTGCTTTTTATTACCTTTACATAATTGCAAGCATGCACAAGTTCTTCTGAAGGGGAGTCTACCATCTAAAGGCAGTAGAGCCAAAACAAGCACAAATAGTGTGCTGCTGAGGCCGTTAAATATTGTATTTCTATGCAGAGAAATATTGGCTTGGCCATTACTGGCTATTAACACAATAGAAGTAAATCTGATAATACATTGACCATCCGTTTTCTGCACCCATCAATTATTTTGGGAGGTTGACGTTCAACACAGAGAAATGCAAAGTCCTGCATTTAGAATAGAACAATCCCATACACTGATATAGACTGGGGACTGACTAGCTAAGTAGAAGCTCTGCAGAAAAGGACCTAGGGGTGACAGAGGACAAGAAGCTGAATAGGAGCCAGCAGTGTGCCCTTGTTGCTAAGAAGGCTAATGGCATCCTAGGCTGCTTTAGTAGAAGTGCTGCCAGCATGCACTTAGAGGGAAGTGATTCTTCCCCTCTGTTCAGAACTGGTGAGACCACATCTAGAGTCCTGTGTCCAGTTTTGGATCCCGCGCTACAGAAAGGATGTGGAGAAACTGGAGAGAGTCTAGTGGAGGGCAACAAAAATGGTTAGAGGGCTGGGGCACATGACTTCTGGGGTGAGACTGAGGGGGGATTGAATAGCAGCCTTCAACTCCCTGCAGGGGGGCTGCAAAGAGGATGGAGTTGGACTGGTCTCAGTGGGAGCAGATGACAGGACAAGGAGCAATGGGCTCAAGTTGCAACAAGGGAAGTTTAGGTTAGATATTAGGAAAAACTTTCTCACCAGGAGGTTAGTAAAGCACTGGAACAGGATACCCGGAGGGGTTGTGGAATCTCCATCCTTGGAGGTCTTTAAGACCCAGCTAGACAAAGCCTTGTCTGGGATGAATTAGTTGGGGCTGGTCCTGCTTTGAGCAGGGTTTTGAACTAGATGTGACTTCCTGAGGTCCCTTCCCACCCTAAATTTCTGTGATTCTATGTGTTCATCTGTGAAACATGATTTGGCTTTTCTGTTGGCATGAACCAGTAGTGTCTTACTTTACTGTTCCTGTGTCAGTCACCTTGGGCATCACTTCCATTCCCCTTGTCATGCTGAATCAGGATCTAGGTGCTATTTTTTGCACACTGCACCCAGCTATCCAGATTGCATCTAAATCTTGCTGCTTCTTTCTGCATGATACCTTTAAGCCCAGCATGTCCTGTACAGTCAGGCATCTGAAACTTTTCTTCCGGCTGATTTACTACATTATCATTCTCTACCACCTTCTCTGTAAATACTATCCTGCTCCACCTATGTTCTTTTTAAATGTGATTGCAGGCCTTGTTTTGCTGTCTTGTTTTCTTAACCATCTCTCCAGTGGTGGCTCCTCCTCCATCAGATCACATACTAACTGCTTATTTTCATTTTTAAGGTTCTTTTTGGGTCTGCCTCACCTAATCTGTCATTATTTATTTATTCAGGTGATTTATATGCTTACAGCAAGAGAAACAGAGCAACTTAAAAGGGCAACTACCATAAATAAAGGAAAATAACAAGTAAAACAAAGTAAGGCAGAGATTTCTTGGGCTTATTTTTGTTTCTAAATGCCTGCCCAAATGGAAAGGAGTTGCAGGGAGTTCCAGAGCTAAAGTCACTGCTCATGCTGTTGAAGTGTTGATGTACACTTCCACTCTGCCAATGCCAGTCCTGATTGCCCAGTTGTCAAATTCCTTGAAAAAACAGTGTTTTGTACCATGCTGTTTCTTACACGTAGATATAGCTCCACTGAAGTGCTTATAACCTGCCTCATTGTCCTTGAGATTCCTTACAGCTCTCCTCTGCTGTCTTGCTTATTGAACACTTGAGAGTGGTTATGTAAGCTGCTGTGCTCTGACCATTGCTACTTATGTTGTTTATAATGGTCTCACTGATATCTTGTGCTTCTCCATTTGTTTGCCTGTACCCATCTGCCGTTCTTCATCTTGTGACTAGACTGTGAACCCTTTTGAGCAGAGGCAGTTTTTTTGTTGTGATTAGGCAGTGCCTAATGCTGAAGTCTTGATCCGTGATTAAATTCCTCCTAGTTACCATGTAACAAATAATGATCAAGTGGGATCAAAGTTTGATTGATTTATTTATATGTATGTGCTGCCCTTCTCAACAAAGGCTCAGAGTGGCTTACAGCAAGACATGGAAACAACCTATAAAAGCAAATGGAATAGGATCTGGAAAGAAGAGTTCTTTAAAAAGTAGTCTGGCTACCTAAATGCCTACCCAAATAGGAAGGTCTTGTAGTATTTCTGGAAGATGTCCAGGCAGGGGCTCTGACAGGCCTCAAGTCAGAGAGAGTTTCAGATCTGAGGAGCAAGTACTGAGAATCACTTCCCACATGCTTTTGGCAAGCAAAGTTGGCTTTTTACCTTGGTTATTTATGGTGCTGTCCCATTGCAAAATGTTCATGGTAACTTAGCAACTCTGGCTTACCTTTATGAAGATAGAAATAATAATAAGATGTATTAATTGCCACAGGTGAGTGGGGTTACCTAGTCCTAGATGCAGCCCTTTGTCACAGGTGGTAAGAATGTATCACAAAGGCAGACCTGATCTCTTCACTTTGATGTGTTTCATAGTTATAAACTGATCCTGGTTTTCTCTGATTTAAAAATATCCCCACTTTTCAGTTAAAAAGTAACCCCAAATCCACATTTTTCTGTGAGTTAACTGAAACACCACTCATATATGCATATATATATTTAGTGGTGTTTTATTTTAATCATGGAAAAAATGTGGATTTGGGGTTGCTTTTTTTAACTGAATATTGGGGATTTTTTTAAATCAGAGAGAACCAGGATCCTTGGTTATAAAAAAGGAGGGGTCGCTGACCCTGATAATTGCAGAATGGTTCATTAAAGAAAGTGGTCTATGTTCCTCTCTGACTCGAATCCTTCCTAGCAGAGTTGATCTGATCTTTCATCATTCACGTGAATGATCAGAGGTCTATATAGAAGTCATGTGGTAGTCTTTTTGCTTGTGTCTGAAAATAAGGCCCTGTCAGGTTTGAGTAGACCCAGCGTAGGGACCTTGGGTAAAATGTATCCTACAAGACCCTTCCTTCAACACTGCTTGTGGCAACAGGAAATGGAAAAGTCAGAAATGAAGCTGACGGGAGAGTGTGACGATACTTGCAGCACTTGCTCAGTACAGTTGCTTATGGGCCAGTGAATACTGAAGATTGCTGGTTTGGACATCAAAAATCCCACAGCACTTTTTATAAATCAGGTGTTTTATCCCCAGTGGCCTTGGCTTAAATTGTTGTCCCTTCCTGCCAGATGGAGGTTGCCTACCAATATCCATGTCAACAGATGAGTGTGCATGCAAACTTTGTGGATGAAAGGTTGAAAAATGCAAATTACTGGGTGAGACTTCCCTGACTGGTTCCAACCAGGTGGACAAGTGTGAATCTGGTCAGAAGGTAGCTTATACAGTCTCATTTGTGCAGTGAGATAATGGTATCATCAATCCCCATTCTAAGGAGTACTCTGCATGGGGAGGTGAACGTATAGTATAACTTGGAGGCCATCCCTTCCCTTGCATCACTTGCCCATACCTCCAGTGCCACGAATATGCAAGGACCAGCTTTTCACATTTTGTCTTTGGGGTATAAACCTGACGGTGTCTCTGAGCGCAGCATAGCTTAACCTCGGTTTGGGGGCTGCCTTGAGGGGGTCTGTAATCTACCCCGTGTAAAATTCTTCTGGGCCAAAGACACTCTTGTCTTCCAGTTGTGCCTCATTTTTTGTTTTTGAAAGGAAGAGATGACATAAGCACCAGCTGCTGCTTTTGTAAAGAATTTACAGCAGACATCTAGGGTACAGCCTTCTTCTGCAGACATTTTTAACCAAGAGACTGAAGCCTTTTAGTATTTGAGGTACATACTACTGAAACCCTTCCATTCAATCTTAAATATAAGTCAAATTCTAGTGTGAATTCCCTGCCCCTCATGTAGCTGGGGTGGGGGTGCATGTGAGAGAGAGAGAGAGAGAGGAAACTCTGAAATCACACCTTGATTTGAAAAATTATGGGAAAAGTTTAACAATGAACCTTCATTGTGCAACCTGGCGTTTCCAGAGAAAATATATTCAAATAAAAATCAAAGAGCTTTAACTTGAGGGGCTTTGGGGTATGGAATAACACCACTCTGCGTAAGATCACCTCCAATGTCTCTATTTGAAAAGCTGCTTTAAAATCATTAGCTTTGGGACACTGGTTTAACACCATCTGCTAAAAATGGAAGGACACATTTTCCCCTTGATGTACACATGCAAGTCCCATTAGCTCCAGTAAGGAGTTTGGGGGGAAATCGGTGTTGGGGAACGGGATAGTCCCATTATTGTTAAAGTTGTACCTTTAGCAGCTACTTTTTATTGTTCTATCTATTAGACTACATCTTATTGTAAGGACTGAATACGTCTAGAAACATATATTATTACAAATGTCATTCATAAGTGGTTATAAGATCTGATTAGCCAAAAATAAACAATTACGATTGCTTCCACTTAACTTTGATTTCTGTTTAATCTTACCAGAGTCTTGGATCAAATAACCATCGCTTCCATCACTTCTCTTCCGTATCTGTTCTTATCCTACTGTTGGCACTGTAGCATCTGAATGCCTGAGTCTGGCATCAGATGGCTCAATCACTGGTTGTGCAGAACTGTTCTTTGAATAAGGCTAGATCTGGATTTCATGGAAATAGAGTCCTATCTAATGATAGCAAAAGCAACAATATAACAAGTGGCTTTTAAATACTGTGCTGTGGAGTACCCTCTGGTGGACATTGATAAGAAATACATCCACTTCACTTGAATAATATACTGGAGTGGACCTGATCAAAAGAAGAGAAAAATCCAGGATTACATATTCATCATGAGCTTGTTTGTGGGGATTAGAGGCCGTGGCTAGATGGGAGTTGAATAAAATGCATGTTTTAAATGTAATGGACAAGAACAAGCAGTAGCGAAGTGGAGAGGCAGCTTGCTTTGTTATGTACAGATAAGAAGATGATGAAATTTAACAGGAAGTATCCTAATTTCATCCTGATTGCTCTAGGTTTAATTTCTTTAGTTCAGTGTGTCTCGTATACAAGCTCTTTGAAACAAGGACTGCCTATTTCAATTTTTTTTAAGGTTTCTTACACACACAGGTGCTCAACTTGAGTGGTCCATTTGGGTGTAATTATAATGAAAGTAATAAGTCCTAGACTTCTGGGTCTCAAGGACCCATTATAATCATCTGTTCCGACCTCCACCATGTTGCAGGCCTATGAATTTCACTAGGAAACTGCATGGAGCCCAATAACCTATGACTGAACTATAGTTCCCTTAGAAGAGCTGACCACAAAACTTGGTAAATTGGACCAAATTGATTAATTACCCTGACTGTTAAAAATATCCCCCTTGTTCCAGTCTTAGTATGTCTAGCTCTGATTTCAAATTGCTATACCTTTGAAAGGCCTCTGATATCTCCTGAAGTGCTTATTCCATATAAATGACTGGTTTTTAAATGCAGATTTTAATTTTCAGGTCACTAATGAGGGAGGAATGAAGAGCGCTTCTTTAAAGGATTTATGTCCTGAGGACAAGAGACGAATTGCAAACTTAATTAAGGAACTTGCCAGGTGAGAATAAGCTTCACCTGAAAATGCATTATGTTTTGAGAGCCAGTCTTCTGTTTAATGCCAAACCTTGTAGAACAGCGTTCTGGAACCGTGTGTTTATTTTAACATAAGTATTATGCTGAAGGAGGAGGGGTGAGCAAGCGGGAGACTTGGTAGCTTCCCCTTCTTCCTTGACAAAAATGGAAAACAAAAAAGTAAGTAATGAAAACTAAAATCCTCATTCTGCAAATTTCAGGAGTTCATCCACGTGAAGGCTCAAGGCTTCAGTTGCTATATTGTGTCTTTTTTATATGTGCAAAAAATATACTTTAGGTTTGTCCTTCGCTTTTTTGCAGTTGTCAACTTTGCCAGGTTGGCACCAGTTTCATGCCAGCCAGTGAGCGAGTTTTAAAGTAGAAATGCAATTTAGAGGCAGTTCAGAGGTGTTGATAAAAGTAACTATGGATGCATTAACTTGTAGTTTGCCCACTTACAACAATAAAAGGTTCAATTTCAGTTGCTTGTGTAGGGGTCTTTTTCTTTTCTTGTAATTCTCTGAAAGGTGGTGGGGATAGGATGTTGCAAGCTTTAAACTCTAGAAAGGGCTATTCCTTTCTGTCCAATATTGGGTAGGCTTGAAAAATAAAATCAGTGGTTTGAACCACGCATTTTAAAATGAAAGAAGGATATTAGGAAACCTACACTTTTCTGTACTGCCTACATCTTTGAAATCTGTGTGGGGCACTTGCTGCATAGCACCTGTATGATCCTCTGTTTCTGCACTAATTACTTCTGCAGCAGTAGGATAAAACTGAGATAAGCAAAATCCCAGGCTAGGCTCTTGCTGTGGTTCATAGATGAAGGCTGCTGTGCATGGGCCTAGTGTTGGAATTCTAAACATCAAGATTTGTGCCTCTTTTACTCTACAGGTTGGATCAGTTGGAGCAGGGAGAGAAGAGGAGTGACAATAAAACACGTTTTAGCAGAATTGGAACTTGGAAAGAGGAAGGGGAACTATATATAGTGGGGATTGGCAGATAAAAGAAACAGTCAGTTACTCTCTCCATTATAGTCTTTAACACTCCTTTACACACACTCACACCTCCCTCCCTTCTAAGAAAACAGAATGTGTTGGGTGACCAGGCTCTTGGGGGCAAGTCTCTGTGCATACAGCCCCAAGCATGTTCACAGCATTTGCATAATAAATAGTAATTGCTTCTCAATTAAACAATAAACACACCTATCCCCAGATCTTGGCAGGAATTTACCTTGGGTTCCTTACCTAATTGTATCTTTTATTTGTGGGCTACTGATAGATTTTTTTTTCATGTTTCATGTTAAAAACAAAAAAGAACACGTGGTCTTTCAGGATGAAAGAGAATCTCCAAAATATGGAGGTGCATTCTAGCATATAAAAACATTGTCCTTACAAATTCTAAAAACACTTTTATAACTTTTTTTTTTCTAAACCATGGATAGCGGTCTGCTTTCCAATACCGGTCAAACAGATGGGGAGGCTGGGGTGCAGCGTACGTGTTACATTCAAGGTCACACAGTAAGTCATCCACGCAGGCAGGAATGTTTTGTCTTGTCATCATCATCTCCCGGACCATTTTGCCTCCTAATAACTTGTGCCAGCCTACAATTTCTTTGCTGTACTTTTAGTAATTTTCCAAGTTCTTCATGCTTATAACTCGCTCTTATCCTGCTTCATGTCTAGTTAAGGCTGTCACGAAAAATAAAATTGTTCAGAAGCTTGGTTACAAATTGTCAAATGTTGGAGCTATTCTGGACACTGGTGCCGTTGTTGATGTATAGGGGTATAGTCTAACACTCGGAAAAAACCCTGTATATTACATTGTTCCTCATAATCCACTGCTCCCAAATGAATACCAGCGCACTAACTCATTTGAACACTGGATTCTTTTTAAGTCTCAGATGCTCTGATTTTTCCCTGAGGACAGTTTGATATTTCTGCCTGACATTTCTCTGAAGAAAAATAGAAAGTGCAGCAACATTAATTTTGCAAAGTAAAATTAGTGGAACACTATTATTTTATTTCAGATATCTTTTTATTTTTAAACCTCATCATATTTTTATTGAATATAATTAAAAGTCGTTTGCAGGGTAATAGGGAAGTTAAACTTTTTAATACCTCTCACCTCATCACTTCTTTTAAAGTCTCCATAATTTTCTTCCCTTGTTGGGTAATGATGGGCTTTTTTTTTGCAGGCGTCAGGACGTTCTTTGCTATTTCCAGGTAGGAAAAAAACATCAAAATGCCTACACTTCACAGGAAGGCTATTTTGTGGTAAATGATGATAATGCTGATTGTGCCGGAGAGAACCTTTGCAGGTTTGGATTTTGTGAAAATGGCACAGTAGTTTGGAGTAATTCCTTTATGTTTATTTCAGGATCATGGATAGAAATTGCTTGGTCAATAATTGTCTGTTTTGAGAGATTTAAGGAAGAGGTAAATTTCTGGCTGTGGGAAGACAGTAATAAAACTCCTACTGACTGTCTGAACCAGACCTTGAACCAACTTGGGTTATTGACCCATCTCATCCTGACTCCTGAAATTTAATTTATACCTGGAAAATCAAATGTCTTTCCTTCACTGCAGTTTTGTACCCGAGTGAAGTGTGTGTGATTGTGTGTGCTTCCAGACTCCACTACACGTCTCTAATAGCACGAGAGCATTATATTTTAGAACTTATTCAAACCCAGGTGTAATAGTCTTAGCATTAATAGTATCCTGCCTTTGAAAAAAAAATCCACCCACAGTCCTTGGAAACCCCTGCAGCAGAAACAGCAGACTCGAGGGCTGACATGCTATTAGGTGTGAGGGACTTGCTGAAATTGAATTTTGAGACAGGGTTGAAAGAAGGGACTGAGTTGGATCTCCTCTAATCCTCCTTTCACGACTAAATAATCTTAGTTTTTTGCACTCCATCACCTTCAAATCTAACAATCGCTTTCCTTTATCTTTGGACGTTTGCAGTCTTCTATATATTAAGGTGAAGGGACACAAATAGGAGCTGTTGTTCTAAGTGAAGCTGGTCCATTGTCTCGTACCATCTACACAATTTTTTTTGTCATTGCGAAGTACATCAAACACCCTGTTTACTTTGCTTGGTGCTGTATGGGCCTCTTGTTCCACTGTCCATAGTGACTAATGATGAAACCTCAGAAACCTGGTTCAGACAACTTTTTTTTTTTTTACATTCCAGCTGGACCTGACTCTTTTTGGAGAATTTCTGAGTAGGGATTAATCATGGTGAATTTCCTATATTGCTTTTGGTGTTGGCTGGGGTAAGAGGAAGAGTTTAGGGTATAGTGGTGGGTCTAACAACTCAACGTTTTCATAAGTATTCTGAGATCTTCATAATATCAGCAAGATGTTTCTGGCCTGGTCATGTTGGTGGCAGGACTAAGTTAGCAGGCACAATAGGAACAAGTTACACCATTGCTCTGTGCAGGGTGTAGGAGCCCAGGAGGGCAGACACTGAGTTTGCATCACTGCAGATTATCTTTCATGCAAGCTACTCCAGAAATCATTATTAACCTATGTGATGAAATGAGTGGTAACATGGCAAGGGCAGCAGAGACGATTCACTTCCTTTTGCTTGCTACCGGCATTGTAGGTGTCTTGGTTCCTTCCAGAGGAGTAATGAGGTATCGGGTGGGTAGGGGGTGGCTTGTGGCCTGTTTCATGCTAACGACTGCCTAAGTGCATAGAGCTGCAGTGGATGCATCTACACATGCAGTTAGTGCAGCTGAACAAACTCCAGTGCAAACTCAGTTGGAGTTTATTGCTCCTAGGCACAGCTTTTACATGTATGGCTGGGATTGTAGCACACTGAGGTAGGGTAGTAGAGCCCTGGCTGGCAGGGTCCCTGGAGGGGGTCAGCCTGGCAGCTTGGAGTTGCTCTGCCCCGGCTCTGTGCTGCGGAGGGGCTAGCTGGTGCTCGGTGCTACAGTGCAGGGATAGACGGCAGGCAGCCTCACACTGTAGCATCCTCATGCCCCAGTTAACCCTGGTCACCATCTACATGTGCATTGTGACGAAGTAAATAGTAGAATAGTGCTTGTGTTGGGCAGTACTATCCTGTGGCAGAGTTAATTAGTTGACTCCGGCCTAATAACACTGCTTGTGTAGACAGTGATGCTTTCCTGTGGAGCTAATTAGGCTCCACAGGAAAGGCTAATTAGACTGAGCTCCTGGAGTACAGCAAATCAGAGGTAAGGGTGACTCCCAGAATGAGGAGAGCTTCCAGAAAGGTGGGAAACAGCTTCTCTTTGGTGCTCTTACTTATCTCCCATTCCCACTATGCCTGCTGGACCCTGCCCAGGCTCTGAGCTGCCTCCTCCTCCTGCTTCACCTCCTGCTCTGTTTGAGCTTCCTATCCACCATTCTTCCTGTTTGAGGATGCTCAGCTTGCTGCTTTTTTAAAGCTGAGCCCATTCTCAAGAGTCTTCCTGGAGACCTGTGAGCCCTGCTCTTCCCTTCTGAAATGATCAAAGTAGAGAGGGGCTCTGCTGCTTTGCATCTATCTCATGCCTCATCCTTTCCCCAGTTCCCTCATGCTGTCACCTTAGGTCTCGGGTCTGTGTAGGTAAGTCCTTAAAAATTATACTGCACACATGGGTAAGGCTTCACACGGTTCAGTCTTTGTAGCATCCATCCTTCATAGAAATCGTAGAAAATGAGGGCTGGAAGGGACCTCAGGAGGTCACATCTAGTCCAATCCCCTGCTCAAAGCAGGACCAGCCCCAACTACATCATCCCACCCAAGGCTTTGTCTACCTGGGCCTTAAAATCTCTGGGGATGGAGAGTCTACCACCTCTCTGGGTAATAACCTGTTCCAGTGTTTTACTACCTTCCTGGTGAGAACATTCTTCCTAATATCTAACCTCAACTTCCCTTGCTGCACTGTGAGACCGTTGCTCCTTGTTCTGTCATCTGCCGCCACTGAGAACAGTTCAGCTCTATCCTCTTTGCCCCCCCCCTGCAGGGAATTGAAGGCCCCCTCGGTCTTCTCTTTTCCAGACTAAATCAGCCCAGTTCCCTTGGCCTCTCCTCACAATTTATGTCCCCCAGTCATTTTTGTTGCCCTCCACTGGACTCTCTCCAGTGTGTCCACATCCTTTCTGTAGTGGGGGGCCCACAACTGGACACAGGACTCCAGATGTGTCCTCCCCAGTGCAGAATAGGGGGGAAGAATCACTGCCCCCCATTTGGTGGCAGCGCTCCTACCAATGCAGCCCAGGATGCTGTTAGCCTTCTTGGCAACAAGGGCACACTGCTGGCTCATATTCACAGCAGGGCCTTTGAGCACAACTTTTCAATAAGACTCTAGTCAGTATTTCTCAAACCGGGTGCTTTGAGACACTTTCAAGGGTGCTGTGAGGTGCCACACAATGTTATCTCGTAGGTGTGCAAACATGATTCACAAGGTGAGCCCAGAGTTTTCAAATGGGGATCCACAGTGTGAAGAACAGTCTGATCTGTTGTGGTCTTTCTGAGTTATTTGCAACAGAATTATTGCTCTAGGATTTTTCTGTAGTTGAAAAAGAAAAAGTGACAGTTAAGAGCTGGCATTTTCCTCAGCTATATTGAAGGGTGCCTCAAGTCGAAAACGGTTCAGAACCACTGCTGTAGGTACTTATGTCCTGTGAATGGTCAGTGAGACGTAGGTCCAGATCATATTCTATCTGTTAAATGCCTGAATGATTCCATTTCACTCTGATTTAGTCTGAAGGCTAAGATGGTTGCGTGTTACAAAAGGATGCGTCAGTATATATTTTGAGCAACTCGAGCAGGGTGAAATAGGATCACACGTAAGCGCATAAATGGACTTAAACATCTAATAGGATAGTGCCTGTCACTTTTAAAAATGGGAATTAGGGTCTCAGTGCTCCTGAAAATCTTCCCTCCTCTCAATGTTGCCAGTATGCATCATTAAGGTAACGCTTGCAATTTGCTAAAAGGACCTGCAAAGTTCAGACCCCATCAGCCTATCTGTTATTTACATTTCTTCGCTTTGGTCCCCATGGTTTTCCCCATCTTGGTTTACCAATCCACAGCTACCCCTCTGCATTTTGATCCCTGAAACTCATTTCTTTGGATGCTTGTTGCAAGTAAAACCATTATTTAAGAAAAGCTTGCTAACTCATTCTTTATGGTCTCCTTTTAACAAGTTGAGAGCTATTTGAGTTAGGGGCTACCCTTCCAATCTCATCTTGTTCATTGTTGGTGTTAACAAGTAATTATATTTTGACTCTTCCCCTGTGCATTGCCGAGCGTGATTTCATCTGTCATGCTGTGCAGTGCCTCAGAAATGCTGCATGGAGTTTCTCACCATTCTTTATGCTTTTTACTAACCAGAATACTATCAATACTATTGATAATTGCTATCTCGCTATCGGTTCTTCCTCTAAATCATTAGTAAAAAATGCAGTCCCTATTAGTGGCTCTAATGCAGATCTCAGGAAAACACCACTGCTAGTGAGTGGGATTAATGAGCTTAGAAATTTCCTGAGGAATACTATTGTTAAAAGGATTTTGCTTCTGCACTGAAAATCTCTCTAAATTCTGGAAGGCCCTTCATAGAAAATATGTAGGACCTTAAGTAGTCGCATCCAAAGTTATAGTCTGATGAGAGATGAATTTAAAATGAGTCTTGAAGAAAGGTTTTTATTTTTTTTGTGTGTCCTGTACCACAAGGTTTATTGAACATAAATTGTGCTAG